GAAGGAAGGTTTGGGACCACTGAATGCTCAAGTCTAAAAGGGACAGTTGTGGGCTTCCCTGGTGGCGCAGTGGTTGAGAGTCCGCCTGCTGATGCAGGGTACGCGGGTTCGTGCCCCAGTCGGGGAAGATCCCACATGCCGCGGAGCGGCTGGGCCCGTGAGCCATGGCCGCTGAGCCTGCGCGTCCGGAGCCTGCGCTCCGCAACGGGAGAGGCCACAGCAGTGAGAGGCCCGCGTACCGCAAAAAAAATAAATAAATAAAATAAAATAAAATAAAATGTTTAAAAAAGGGACAGTTGCTACTTTGCTCTAGCAGACGATGCTGCCAGACCATCATCGCATGTTTTACGAGAAGCCAGAAATCTACGTTTTTCATGTAAAATCAGCAGATTTTTTAATGCTGACAATTAACAGGCCAACCAAACACCATTTGCAGGCCATGTAGCCCTTGGGTCATCACCTGACTTCGGGCTCGGCAAAGCCCTTACAAGTGCCCTCCTCTCCTCCTAAGCGCCTTTCTTCAGACAGTGTTGTTAAGCCCACAGCATACTTGTCTTCAGGAACTGTAAGAAATGCTAGTGCTAAGAAAGAAAATTTGATTTCTATAATTTCTCAAGAAACGCTGCAACAAGTATAGCTTTTTACTACAAGACTTACAAAGACAAGAGGACACAGTACTTACTCTAAAGAAACGTCGATGTGGTTGGAGACGGGCAAGTAATAACTCTAGAACAAAGCAAATCAAGTATACACCGGAAGGGAGAGGAAAACCTTACTGTCACAGTAGAAAGATAAGTCACTGTCAACACTGACAGTTTGGGGAATGTAGGATAAAAAAAAGAATGAATTCAAAAATTATTCCAAACACTCAAAAGGAAAGGAAATCAAAGGAAGAAAATCAAACTAAACTAAATAAATAGAATAAGTAAAGCCAAATCTGACTAGAAAGAAGGGAAGGTACGCTGAGAACACACCAAGCCCCATACTGCTGCCCTCCCGCTCCTACCAAGGCCGCAGCCCCCGTACTGCCGCCGCTCTCGCTCCATGGTCTGCTTGATGGCCGCCTCTCGGGCGCAGTGCCGCCGGCCCCGCCTGGCCTTGATGCTGTTGTGTAACTCAATCTGCTCCAGCTCACTGCTGAACTGTTTAAATACCTGAAAAACAAGAAAATGATCTGACTTACAGAGTCTCTGTTTGGCTTATATTAATTCATTTAAAACATAATCTCCCCCCCCCCAAAAAAAAACCCCACCATAATCCCCAGTCTTTGCCTGTCCCTTAAGTTTTTATACTCCTCTGAGTTCCTTAAGTTCTCAGACCTCAGACCTTCTAGTGGTAACTTAACCATTTTCAAAATTCCTGTGACCACATCAAAGCCTGCCATTAAAGTGTCTGTTAAACAAACTCCGTATCCACATACTCAGCCACCTCCTGGACATCTCCATCTGGCTTAACACGCCACCCCTGGCCTTGCCTCCGCGCTGCCCCTAGGTGCCCCCTCCCGACCCGCTCCATCCCCTGGGACAACCATTCATCCAGCTGCCCAAGTGAGGAATGCGAGTGCCCCCCCCCGACTCCTGCCCTCTCACCCTTTTATGCCACATCTAAGTCTTCGTTAAAGACTGGGACTTCCACCTCCTTAAAATGTCTGCACCCTTTCTCTTCACCACACTGCTCCCACCATCACCTCTTGCCTGGACTGCTTCATCAGCCTCTCAGCAGTCTCCCAGCCAGAGCCCGCCCCCTCATCCATTTTCCTCATTCCTCCAACTGTGACCTTTCTAAAGTTTAAAAATGTGACCATCTCAGGTGCTTGCTGTAACTATGTCTCCCACGGTCCTTGGATAAAGTCCAAACTCTTACAGTGATATGTGAGATCTTTCATAAGCTGGTTGTTTATCCTACCTGTCACAATTCCCTCCTTGAACCTATTATTTCAGTCTTATTAAATGTCTGGCAGATCACTAAATACGTTGCTCTCACCCCGGGCCTTTCAGATCTTGTTCTCTCTGCCTAGAGGCTCCAACTACCTCACCTCAATCTGCTAACCCCTATCTTTAGATGTCAGTTTCCTCCAGGAAGCCAAGAAACTGGGTTAACTACCACTCTGAGGCCCAGAAAGGTTACAAAGCTACTAAAATGGCTAAGCTAGTATAAGAATCCAAAGTCTTGATAACAAAGCTCATTTGCTCATCTATAAATCCCGAATAGAACTCTGAATCTTGAAGAATCAAGCTGGGGAATTCCTGTTACTGACTCTTTGCTCATAACATGCCCAGTGTTTACCTTTCAATTAATTCACAAGCATCTCTCTTTGAATATCCTACTTTTTTGGGATCAAGATGATTTTGAAACCACTGCAGTTTTTCACCTATAACAACAAGTACCAAGACAGTTTAACACCACAAGTCATCATTCAAGCAGAGGTAGTCATTATAATTTTCAACATCAATGAGTTTAAAACAGTATCAAAATTTATTTCAAAGTTAAATATAAAGTTTTGTGTGGGCTCAAAGCTAACTAAATCAGTCTGTCAGAAATTAAATTGTCACATTTTAATTTGGGCAAGAGACAAGGGTAGGAGGGACGCTTTTCTGTATATATTTTTTATCCAGGAAGGATACAAAAAATTTAAAAAAGGAAAGAACACTCTTAACAGAACATGAAGTTCTAGGTATTTATAAAGCAAAGGATAGAACTTACCCGAAATAACAAAAAGAGTCTGATT